TTGTTCAGAACCTCCTAATCTTTGACGTTCTTCCTCCTTAGCTTTCATTAATTTCATTTCAGCCTCTAGTACTGCTAATTTAAGTCTCATTCTCTCCATTTCCATATCACCTGGAGTAGGTGATCCCTCATGTTCACTGTTAACAGGCATGTTTACTGATGAATTATTACCTTCTTCCCTGAAGCCTAAAAAATCTGAAGACTCATCTTCTGACATAGTTTTATCTTTAAACACTTGCTTCCCTCTTACAGTATCAGTGGACAAAGTTTTCCCACAGGCACATAAAATAACACAAATTGAATGTAAACTATGCACATAGCACTTACCATAACCACAACAAAAAATGTGTTACTCAACCTTTCTCCCACCTTAGGAGAAAAACAACCTGTAAACTAATATATGAAAACAACACTTCCACTGACCCACCTTGGTAAATCTTCTACCAGAAACATGCAACTGCTATTACCCCATACCAGCACATATAGTTCAAAGAATGTTTTGAGTTATTTTAGCAGTCAAATAACTCTCCCGGACAGGCCCCCATGTTACGTTGGTATGTCTTATTTCTTGGATGGTAAGGTTCTCACTACATGTTCTAGTGTGGGGTAGCTTTTACTTAATGGCCTTATTTGTCTAGGGGTAATACTTACATCATGGCTGATCATCTTGAGTGTCTCTGATACCCTTTCACCAGCCCTCTTCACAGGTTATGTAAACTACTACTATAAAAATATAACTGTATTCTCAATAGATATGTACAGAATATACAATCACAGCCTCCATTTTCAAAACAAAATCTACACACTCCATGCCTGTTCTCCCACATGGTGTACCTTATTAACTTTTGTCCTTCTCTCTTGACATAACTCTGGCTAACCAGTGTTTTGACACACTTTAGTCACCCTGGGTATGGTGGCCACAACTTAAATTATAAAAACTCACCTCTGGAGCACACATAATGCCCCAAAAGATAGAAGAAGGACCCAGAGATCCTGCCAGGTTGAAGGTCAGCCACAGAGAGAGGGAGTCAGTGAGAGGGAGAGAGAGAGAGAGCCTGGCTAAGCTCCTCCCACCAAAACAAAAGACTGTTGCCAAGCACAATTCTCCAGTTACCACAATTCTACCACACCTTAATTTTACTTTTACAAAAAGAAATACAACTTTATAAACTACTTATTTAAATTGTGTGTTTATGTGTCTATAGTATAACCTATTATATTGAGAAAAATAGGCTTGACCCAGCTGCCTCTCAGTCATAAGGTTGATCAGTCCTTCTGACATTTAGAGCAAAGTCCCCATCAATTCAATATAATTAGGTATTCCAGAGTAACTGTTACTTATAAATACATGTTGGGTCCTATAGCCCCATAACAGTTGGCACTAGAAGCTTTCTTGGGGCCCATGGTTACTTAATTTGCAGAAACAAGAACCAAAAACAGTGACAATATGGATAATATGGAATGTACTGAATGTATCCTTAGATGCGTGCACACTAGCTGGCTTGTAAACACTGGCACACATGGGGCAGTTCAGGCCACACGTGGACATGTCTCGTACGAATCGTATCGAATGTCGGGTTTTCCATCGAATGTCGAGGTGAAATTTCTGCGTTAAAATGCATCGAATGTCGGATTTATCGAATGTCGATGCCATCGAATGTCAGGGGTCCACTGTATTCACTTCTTCAATACTCCCTCCCTCCAATGTGATATTCAATTTTTCTTTATCTAAATTGTTTGATACCCTCATCACCTTACTCTTATCTATGTTCACTATGCACTTCTCATTGTGTGATTAAAAAGCATAAATTTACTGTTAGCCATAATCATAGTACAGTGGACCCTCGGCTAACGATATTAATCCGTTCCAGAGAGCTCATCGTTAGACAAAATTATCATTACCCGAATTAATTTTCCTCATAAGAAATAATGGAAATCCAATTAATCCATTCCAGACAGCCAAAAGTATTAAAATTTTTTTTTTTTTCATGAAATATACTTTTCCCTACAGAGAACACAATGAGACATTCACAATAACTATATAAATTATTGAAGAGTATTGATGAGTGATGAGACACTATTTTTCTTGAACACTCTGGGATTATCAGAGTGATACATGAGTAAAGGCTTCACTTTGCAATCCCCACTAGCATTACAACAAAACTAGAAAGTTAGCCTGTCTTTCATAGGCTTGTGTCCTGGGAGTACCTTTTCCTCCTGAGTAATGTAGGTCCTGTTTGGCATTTTCTTCCAGAACAGGCCTGTTTCGTCACAGTTGAACACTTGTTGGGGTTGGAATTTTTCAGCTTCGCCATGCCTTATCACACTGTGTATGCCACTACGATTCTTAAATCTCTCAAACCAACCTTTGCTGGCCTTAAATTCACCAATATGAGCACTAGTTCCAGGCATTTTTTCCTGTTCACCTGGGTGTTAGTCGACTGGTGTGGGTCGCATCCTGGGAGACGAACTTAAGGACTCCAGTGGAAATAAGTTAGACAGTCCTCAATGACACACTGACTTTCTTGGGTTATCCTGGGTTAATTGTTTCTTGGTAATTGTTTCTCGTTAAGCCACACCAACAACAGTCTCCCCACATCTTCGAGTAGTACATCTGACGGTGCAGCAACAGCTGATGGTGGTGCAGCAGCAGCTGACTGTGGTACGATAGTATTTTGATAGCATTTCTCACCCTTTTTACCACAGGGTTGGCACCAGAAGCTTTCTTTGGGCCCATGGTTGCTTATTTAGCAGTTACAAGCACTAAAAATGATGGAATAATACAAAATGTATCGAATATATGCATGGAACCAGCCACCCTGGCTTGTAAACAATGACAGCAGGGCAGCTGAGGTGCTCAGGCTGGACGGACAGGTTCGGGATGAATCGTGTTAGTCGAGTTTTTCATTGTTGGCCGGGCCAAAATTTTTTACACTCGAATACTTCGTTGGGCAAATTTATCGTTAGACGATGCCTTCGTTAGCCAAGGGCCCACTGTACAGTGGAACCTTAATATTCATACAACTCGATGTTCACCCAACATTTTTGAGAAAATTTTGAATTGGTATTTGGACGTTGCCCTGGTATTCTACTTAAACAAAACTGTCCCTCTGGACAAAGTCCGACGAAAACAAAGTATCACATGCTCAGTTTCTCATCAGCTTTCATTCATTAAACATTGTTTGTACAAGTTCCTTGAAACTTTTTGGTATTTCATTGTTATTCTGTGGTGTTTTTTAAATATTTTCCTTGAAAATAAGTAATCATGGCCCCAAACAGAGTAGGGATCCAGACAAGCCTGAAAGGAAAGCAGTGAGAACAACAATTAAAGCGAAAAAAAATGCTGGTAATGCTAGTGAGGACTGCAAAATTCAACCGTTGCTAGTCTACCACTCTGAAAATTCAAGGGTGTTTAAGAAAAACATTACGATAAAAAGTAAACTCAGTGTAATATGGAGGACTAACATTGCAGTTCTTCACTGATGAGTGGATACATGAAGTGTTTGACTCAAGTATGAAGCAGTACATTGTGGAAAAAACTTACATTAAGGGCACTTCTGGCAATGGACAATGCTCCTGCTCACCTTCTAGGCTTGGAGGAAAAATTGGTGAATGAACAAAGTGAAGTTCTTGTCCCCTAACACTACTCCTCATATCCAACCCATAGACCAGCAGGTAATTTTCAATTTTAAGATCCTTTACACAAAAGCACTGCTTAAAAGATGCTTCGAAGTGACCTCTGAAACAGACCTTATTATATATACCCTTAGGGAATTTTTGAAAAACAATTTTAATATCCTCCACTTTTTATGGATAATTGACAAAGCCTGAGAGAAAATTTTTTTCAGGACAGTGAACTCTGCCTGAAAGAAATTGTGGCCAGACTGTATGTTAGGCAGAGATTTTGAAGGCTTTGAGGCTGGGTGGGTATTGAGAACTTTCAAAACAAGGGAAGCAATGCCAATGGTGACACTCTTCAAATCGCTAGTGCTCTCTCACTTAGAATATTACTCAGTGCTGACGGCCCCATTCAGGGCAGGAGAAATATCGGAGCTGGAACAAATACAGAGATCGTTTACGGCTCACATTGAGCCAGTAAAGCACCTAAACTGCTGGAAATGCCTGCATGTCTTGAACATGTACTCATTGGAGTGGAGGAGAGAGAGGTACATGATAATATATACCTGGAAGGTACTCAAGGGCTTGGTCCCAAATCTGCACACTGCCATAACAACATCCTGGAGTGAGAGATATGGGAGGAAGTGTAAAATAAACCCAGTGAGGAGCAGGGGTGCGGTGGGGACAATAAGGGAACACTGTATCAACATCCGGGGTCCCAGGCTTTTCAACATCTTACCAGAAGATATCAGAAACACTGCTGGAACAAGTGTTGAAGCCTTCAAGAGGAAGCTAGACAAGTATCTTTACCAGGTGCCAGATCAACCAGGCTGTGATGGCTATGTGGGGCCATGGAGATAAAAGGAAATAAACAAGAATAAGAACTAGAAAGAAAATAGAAGAAAACCCAGAGGGGTGTGTATATATGTGCTTGTACATGTATGTGTAGTGTGACCTAAGTGTAAGTAGAAGTAGCAAGACGTACCTGAAATCTTGCATGTTCATGAGACAGAATAAAGGACACCAGCAATCCTACCATCGTGTAAAACAATTACAGGCTTTCATTTTACACTCACTTGGCAGGACAGTAGTACCTCCCTGGGCAGTCGCTGTCTACCGACCGACTACCTAGGATTTTTATATCTATCTTTTATATTTTGCTCTTCCACTGTGTTTGGAATTTAATGCTTCTAGCTGTAATACTTTTATCATGACTGGCTTAATTTGTACAGTATAGAGAAATATGGATTTAGTTAATAGATTGTACTTTGCAGAGTGTATTAAAGATTTTATTATATAACCTTGCTTTTAGTAGGAGAAAGTATAAAATTTTAGCTTTCTCAAAGATATTCAATACTGTAAAAAATTATTCTTGTGCTTCAGCAAGGGTGATAAGTGTGGGCATAGTATGCTGTACCTGCTTCTGACTGCTGCATCTTCTGCCACAGCCATGCTGTGTAAGGAGGTTGGCATCACTGCATTGGTAAGTTGTTCTGTTATAATTAACAATGCATTCTCTCACATATAGCTTCCAGCAAATTTCCCAGTTAGGGCAGCTTAGAATACATAGGAGAATGAAACTTATTACAATGTTTTGGACCAGCTTAGACCATTAACTAGTTTAGGTTAGGTTGTCCTTTATCTATAAAAAGTAATCATTTATAACATACCACATTGGAAAAAATGTAAAGGTGATAGAAGTTTTGCTGCATGAACAGTCACTGAGAGCTACAGATATAACTATGCCAGATTTTCACTGTTTAAAGTGCTTTTCTCAGTCTTCCATTTGACTGTCTTTGCAACAGTAAAATGATGTTTGTTAATAAGAGGACAGACTAAGAAAAAACCATTTGTGAAGGCTTACTCAGCCCTGTAACAACTTCAGACAGTATTACCAAGGCTGGCTCCTCCTCAGGAAAATTAGTGAATAGAAAAAGAAATAATAACAGACAAACATAAACACTTTATTATATAGAAAATATAAAATATAAAACACTTAAATATGAAATATTAATCCTACATTAAAGAAAATGAAAAATGAAAAATATAAATGATAACTGAATTCAACGCTAATATATATATAGGGGTGTCTGGTGTTGGTGACACTGTTGTTGAAATTGTAGCCGTTGCTGATGGGGGGGGGAGTCGCAGGTGTTGGTGACCACCACTGGCTAGTTCTTCGCAGAGTATCGCCGTGAGTAGTATCCCGATGACAGGAAAGCAGGTTCTTTACCGCTGCAATGATGTGGGGTTATGTCCTGCAATTTCATACAGGTGCACAGGTAATTAAATCCAAAATGGGACGTATCCAGGACGTTAGTCTGTCTCCTGTTTTTCTCGTTGATTGACAGGTGACCCTCTCTGTCATCCAAGCTGAAAAGATAGACAGGTTACCCACTGCTTAAAAATCACTCTCCATGGCAAGTACAATACCCAAAAGATGTGGTGATTATTACAACAGTCAACCTAGAGCAAGACTGAAAGGACTAAGTTTATTATTGGTCAAAAGTAAAGCTTTCAACCAATAAATCCACTAGAATACAAGGCAGGCATGTACTTACAGTAGTGTTGGGAGCTGTGAGTCGAGTGATTTACTGTTTGACCAGAGCCCCACACGTCACCTTTCGGGGGAGGGGGGAAGAGGGAGGGGAAGGGATAGTGGGAGCAAGACTGACCCTACGTTAATAAGCAGCCGGCAATCAAACTATCACTTTAGGGGTGGGGGAGAAAAGGCGGGAGCTTGACTTACCCTACCTTAACAAGTAGCCGGCAATGAAACTATCACTTTCGGGGAGGGGGAAAAAAGGCGGGAATAGCGGGAGCTTGACTTACCCTACCTTAACAAGTAGCCGGCAGTGAAACTATTGTTACTATATACTCCCTCTCTATTCCTATCTATTGAACTTTTCCCTCACACTATTGCAGTTTTTTTTTAACATGCTGGCCATCTCTCATTGAGGCAGGGTAACCCGAAAAAGAAACACTCACTATCATTCACACTATCACTGTCTTGGTAGAGGCACTTAGATACGACAGCTCAGATGTCCCTCCAAACAGCAAATGTCCCAAACCCCTCCTTTAGAGTGCAGTACTCAAGTCCAGTTAACCGGTTTCCTTGAATCCATTCACACAATATTAACCTGCTCTCACTCCAACAGCTCATCAGGTCTCAAAAACCATTTGTCTCCACTCACTCCTATCTAACATGCTCACACATGAATGCTGTATATCCAGGCACCTTGCACACAAGACCTCCTGTACCCCTCTCCCTCCCTCCTTTTCCTAGAATGTTCTTATATACTGTATACCAATATATGCATCTCCTCTCAGATTATTTTAAAGACCAGATATTCCTTTTTTCTTCATATTATTTTAGGTGGTTGCTTCTTTGAATGTACAAGAGCAACTAAACTGAAAGCTGTTTATTTATTTTTTTGGTATGCATGTTATATAGTTGTTTGAAATTCTTTGAATATAAATAAAGCTAGGTAAGTGCATAACTAATACAGTGGACCCTCGGGTAATGGCATTAATCCATTCCAGACAGCTTGCCTTTAACCGATTTTGGCGTTAGCCAAATTAATTTTCCCCATGAGAAATAATGGAAATCCAATTAATTCGTTTCAGACACCCAAAAGTATTAACAAAAAATATTTTTTTTAAAGATTAAATATAGATATACATACAGACAATAATGACAAATAAATATAAAGCACTAATAAAATGGATAAATGAACATTTAACATCACACTTACCTTTATTGACTCTTGTTGGTGTATGGAAGACAGGTAGGAGGCGAGAAGAAGGCAAGTTTATTATGCTTCAACGTGATGCTAATATCTCTACGGCTTATTTATCTATCACAATTCATCTAATATGACATAATAAACAATATTAATAACATAGAAACATGATATATATACTCTAATATGAATAAAATATGTCATAATGTATGTGAGTAAGTGGTTGAAGTGTTGTTGTTGGGTTTACAAGGACCACTGAGAGAAGCCATACATATTATTGGTGTGAGGCGGCAGCAGACGCCACTAACACTATTCACACTTAAACAGTGTATGTAATTTATAAATAAGAAATATTTACATTTAATTTATAAATAAGAAATATTTACATTTTAATTTATAAATAAGTAAGTCTATTCAGGTATACACAAATACAGTTACATACATACATTATCATACATAGCAGCATATGTGTAAAGTACCTAGGATAACCCAAAAAGTCAGGGTGACTTATTTCCATTGGGGTCCTTTTATAGTTACTCTTATATTTACTTTTATACCTCTTCTTCTTTCAACGTATCAGCCATATCCCACTGAGGTGGGGTGGCCCAAAAGGAAAAACAAAAGTTTCGCCTTTTAAATTTAGTAATATATACAGGAGAAGGGGTTACTAGCCCCTTGCTCCCGGCATTTTAGCCGCCTCTTACGACACGCATTGCTTACGGAGGAAGAATTCTGTTCCATTTCCACATGAAGATAAGAGGAAATAGACAAGAACAAGAACTAGAAAGAAAATAGAAGAAAACCCAGAGGGGTGTGTGTATATATATGCTTGTACATGTATGTGCAGTGTGACCTAAGTGTAAGTAGAAGTAGCAAGACATACCTGAAATCTTGCATGTTTATGAAACAGAAAAAAGGACACCAGCAATCCTACCATCATGTAAAACAATTACAGGCTTTCATTTTACACTCACTTGGCAGGATGGTAGTACCTCCTTGGGCGGTTGCTGTCTACCAACCTATCTATAACTTTTATACTTACACTTTTATATTTACACTTACCTTGGAGGAGATGTTAGTTTAATTAGTTAGTTTGATGGAGGAGATGCTGGCAGAGGTTTAGGGTGGTGGAAGATAGCAGGGCAGCATATGTTCATTGGCCCTATACACATCCAACAACATTGGAGAGTTACTTTCATGTCATTTTTCTATCGCTTACTCGCTTAACTTACTTGCTACACTGTTAATTCTACACTTTATTGCTGGCTGGCACTATAGCCTTTATCGATACCTGCTGCTTTAGTATCGTACATATCGTAGAATTGCTGAATCACTGCAGAAGGCACATTCTCCCCTCTCTCTTCCTCCTCCACTTTGGTACTTTGCTACAAGTTTTTTCTTGAACTCTATTGTGTTTCTTTCCTTCTTTACCACAGGGCTGGCACTAGAAGCTTTCTTTGGGCCCATGGTGGCTTATTTAGCAGTTACAACCACTAAAAACAATGGAATAATACAAAATATATCGCATGTACACATGCGATATATTTTGTCCTCACTGGCTTATAAACACTGGCACACTAGCTGTACATGGGCTCAGGCCGTGCGGACACGTTCGGGACAAATGTCCTTAACCGAGTTCTTGGGCATTAGCCGAACCAATATTTTGATGCAAAAATATGGCGCTGTCCGATTTTGGCATTAGCCAATGATACCATTACCCGAGGGTCCACTGTATCTCATTTATCATGCCTTTCTTCCAGTATGTTAATCTGGAATAATGTCAGAACAGAACTGAAATAATTAGTTAAGGTAGGTTTAGGTGAAGTGGTCAATATAATTCAAATGGTTTAAAGGATTTTTGTTTTAAATTAGTTGAATATGAATGTTGGTTAGCATGCTAGTTTTATTTAAAGTTCTGTACAGTGATAGGGTATACTTCTTCTTTCAACGCACCAGCCATATTCCACTGAAGCAGAGTGGACCAAAAGGAAAAATGAAAGTTTCTTCTCTTACATTTAGTACTATATACAGGAGAAGGGGTTACTAGCTCCTGGCATTCTAGTCGCCTCTTACGACACGCATGGCTTATGGAGGAAGAATTCTGTTCCACTTCCCCATGGAGATAAGAGGAAATAAACAAGATCACCACCCATCTAGAAGCCCATCAATTACACAACCCAGGGCAACATGGGTTTAGAGCAGGTCACTCCTGTCTGTTTCAACTATTAGATCACTACGACAAGGTCCTAGATGCACTAGAAGACAAAAAGAATGCAGATGTAATACAGTGGACCCCCGCTTAACGATCACCTCCAAATGCGACCAATTATGTAAGTGTATTTATGTAAGTGCGTTTGTACGTGTATGTTTGGGGGTCTGAAATGGACTAATCTACTTCACAATATTCCTTATGGGAAAAAATTCGGTCAGTACTGGCACCTGAACATACTACTGGAATGAAAAAAGTTCGTTAACCGGGGGTCCACTGTATATACAGATGTTACAAGTAGTCAGTATCCTGGTCCAATTATCCATTAGAATTCAGTAAGATTCAATAGTGCTTCAGGATTACAACTGGTAGGCTACTAACTAAAGAAATTAAAATTTAATAATTTTATTTTATTTTATTATCACACTGGCCGATTCCCACCAAGGCAGGGTGGCCCGAAAAAGAAAAACTTTCACCATCATTCACTCCATCACTGTCTTGCCAGAAGGGTGCTTTACACTACAGTTTTTA